AATATTTATGATGCTGCTTTTACTATTAATTTCAAAGAAGGCTTGACAGAAGATCTTATATCAGCAAATAAAAATAATAAAATTAACTATATCGATAAAGCATTAAAAGAAATGTTAAATATAGCAAAAAATAAATCAAATTATGAGAAAGGCGATAAAATAAATATCATACTATTTAATGATGAGTTATTTAATTGTATATCTACAGGCTTAAAATCTGAAAAATTCTTAGTAAATCTTCAGGAAAAAGTATCTGAAATATTAACATCAGATCAAGAAATTGATATTTCTAAAACCAAATTTGTAGTTCAAGTAGTAAAAATTCCTAAAGGGGCCAAGGGGAAAAAAATATTAAATTTAGTTGATGACATAATAAAAAAATCTAGTATTATTAGAATTAAGAATAATAATGATAATTTATGCTGTCCAAGAGCTATTGTTGTTGCTTTAGCTAACTCTATAGAATATTCTGCTAATAAAACAAAAAATATCTTAGGTAAAGAATTAAATGAAAATAAAATAAAATATCTTAAAGAGGGTAGATCAATTCAAAAAGAACTTGCATTAAAATTATGTAGTTTATTAAAAACATATAACTCACAAGGCTTTACGTTAGATGATATTTATAATGTCGAATGTATTTTAAAAATTCAAATAAATATTATATGTGCTCAAAATCAAAATAAGATAATCTATAAAGGAATAGATAGAGATATAAAAATCTATTTATTTAAAACAGGTAATCACTTTGATGTCATTACTAAAATTAAAGGATTTTATGGCGTTTCTTATTATTGTGATAAATGCGATACACCATATAGTGACAAAGATAAACATAAATGTAAAGATAAAAAAGAACTATGTTTATTATGTAAAAAACTTAAACATTTAAGTAAAAAGGAAAGAGTGTACTGTGAAAAATGTAATAGATATTGCTTTAATCAAGAATGTCTTGAAAGTCATCAGAAAGTTTGTGAAGTAGCTTTTAAATGTAAGGTTTGTAATAAAATCTGCATGAGAAGTGATAAACACAAATGCGGAATAGAGAAATGTATAAATTGTTGGAAAGAAGTTGAAATAGCAAAACATAAATGTTACATTCAATGGCTTAGTCAGAGAGGAGGTAGATGTAAAAGAGAAATTTGCTTATGTAAAGGTAACATGGATGAAAATATTAAAAATATTGAAGATTGTAATCTTAAAGAACTAAGAATTAAAGCAAAAGAAGATAAAGTGAAACAATATAGTAAACTGAATAAAAAAGAATTATTAGATTTACTATACCCATTTCCTTTTGCAAATGAGATTTTTGGTGAGAGTGAAGAACCAAACCTATCAAAATGTACCTATACAGAAAAATATTTATTCTTGGATTATGAGGCTCAACAAGAAACTGGTACACATATTCCAAACTTAATAATTGTTTCTGATTTTATAGGTAAAATATACAAATTTGACACAAATAATGAACTATGTAAATGGTTAATATCAAGTATACATGCAGATTTTACATGTATAGCACACAATTCGAAAGCCTATGACTCTCAATTTATACTAAAATATTGTGTTGAAAATACTCTTAAGCCTGCAGCAACTTACAATGGTTCAAAATTAATGTTTTTAAAAATTCCAGTAATAAATCTAAAAATTATCGACAGTAGTAATTTTATTCAGGGTCCCTTAGCAAATTTTCCTAAAACATTTGGTTTATCTGAATTAAAAAAAGGATTTTTTCCTCATTTATTTAATACTGTAGAAAATGCTAATTATATTGGGTCTATTCCTGATAAAAAATACTACTGTTTTGATCAAATGAAACCTGAATTAAGAGAAGAATTTTTAGAATGGTATTTAATAAAAAAACAAGAAAATTACATTTTTGACATGAAGAAAGAGCTCTTAGAGTATTGTACATCAGATGTTGACATTTTGAGAAGAGGTTGTTTGAAATTTAGAGGAGATTTTTTAGAAATAGCTAATATTGACCCTTTTAAATATGTAACCATAGCAAGTGTCTGTATGGCTATATATAGATCAACATTTCTAAAAAAAGACACTATAGCTGTTTTAGATAAAGAGAAAAATGAAACCTATTCTAAACAGTCTATAATGTGGATACAACATTTTAATAACAAAAATATCTGTCATGCCTTAAATGGTGGTGAAAAGGAAATACTAGGTGTTAGAGTTGACGGCTTTGATGAAAAGTTAAAAACTGTATACCAATATCATATGTGTTTTTGGCATGGATGTACTAGATGTTATAGTGACGGAGAAATAATTAATAATATAAATAATGAGACAATGGAAGATCTATTTGAAAAAACAATTAACAGAAATATGAGAATAAAAAATGCAGGATATAATCTTGTTGAAAAATGGGAATGTGACTGGATAAACAGTGATGTATACAAAAGATTGAATAAAAACTTGAATGAAATCGATGTAGTAGGACCTATTAATCCGAGAGATGCTTTCTATGGGGGTAGAACAAATACTATAAAACTAAGAGTAAATAATACAAAAAAAATACAAGAAAATACAAAAATACGCTACATTGATGTATGTAGTCTATATCCTACTGTAAACTATTATGATTATTATCCTATTGGACATCCGGATAAAATATCTGAACCAAAAGTATTTGACAAAAAATGGTTTGGCTTGATTAAATGCAAAGTATTACCTCCAAATAATCTTTACCATCCTGTACTACCTATAAAAGTAAAAATGGAAAAAAATGTAAAATTATTATTTCCATTATGTTATAAATGTGCTTCTGAACAAATTAAAAAATGTACTCATTCTGAAGCTGAAAGGCAATTTATAGGAACTTGGACTACAGATGAAATTAAAAAAGCTCTGGAGAAAGGATACATTATAAAAAAATTTATGAAGTATGGAATTTCAAAAAAAAATCATCAAACCTGTTTAAAAAATATGTGAATTATTTCATAAAAATAAAATTAGAAAGTTCTAAACATAAGTACAATTCTAATGAAGAGTATATAAAAACAATTTTTGATAAAATGGGCATTTTGATAGATAAAGATAAAATATGCTATAATCCAGGTAGAAGAGCTATAGCTAAAATATGCTTATGTAGTCTATGGGGAAAATTTGGACAAAGACAAAATATGAAGAAAACTAAATTTATTACTGACTCTAAAAGTTTCTATAAAATACTATTAGATGAAAGATTAGAAAACATCAATATAACAATATTAAACGATGATATGTTACAAATGGTATACAACTTTAAAGATCAATATGTAGAAAATAATCATAACACCAATATTTTAATAGCTCTATTTACCACTTCAAGTGCAAGATTAAGACTTTATAAAATATTAGATAAATTAGGTAGAGCTGTAATTTATTTTGATACGGATTCTATTTTCTATATAGATGACGGTTATAATACAATTAAAACAGGAGAAATGCTAGGAGAATGGAATGATGAACTTGGTGAAGGTGTATATATAACAGACTGGGCTTCAACTGGTCCTAAAAGCTATTATTATAAAACAAATAAAAATAATTGTAAAACAGTAATAAAAGGATTTACTTTAAATTATCAAAATTTACAAAAACTTAATGGAGAAACAATGATTAAATTAATTGAAGAAAATAACAGAGAGAATAGTGTTGAATTAGAATACAATCAAATGGTACCAGACAAAATTAGTAAAAATATAATTAATAAAAAAACTAAAAAAAAATTCACATTCGATTATGACAAAAGAATAATATTATCAAATTATGACACTGTACCATATGGGTATAAATTAAGTTAAATATAATTATTTATATACATAATAATAAATTTTTCATGCTACTAATTATGTTTTTGAGTCTAAGTTTACTAGCTAGATCTGCAACAATTACCATTTCAAACCGGACTTTCAATTCGACATCTACAAATATTGAGATTACAATTCAACATCTCACCTATACATTAAAACTGGAATTTCAATTCAACAATTACAAACTTGGGATTTCAATTCAACATCTACAAACTTGGAATTTCAATTCAATATTTTATTTTTATTTTTATTTGTAAATATTTAAGTTGTAAACAAATGATACTTGAGTGATTTTTGTTGGAAAAACTGTTTCATATATCTATATATATATGTATAGACTTATAGAGCAATTTAGACGACTAAAAACGGCTACAGTATGCCCACGAATGAGTCAAAACTCAATAGTGGCTTGTATTTATAACCTCGAAAAACATGATGCAATATTACACAATAATGACGAAATCTAGAGAAGAAGAACCTTCTAGAATGTTCTATTTGACGTCAGAAAACTTGATATTACGAATTAATACCACTATCCTATAAACGGAATAGCTAATGGTGTGCTGTAATATACTTTTTTCATATAATATATAAAAAAAACACGAAAATACTTTGGTTGTTATTTGTTTACAATTTATTTATGATTGGCGGAAAATTTATATTTTTAACAGATCTGTAATGTTTATTGCAATAACTCGAAATATCTGTTATAATATATCTAAATTATTGTAATATCTATAAATAACTCTAAATATCTGTAATGCTTAAAATATTTATTGTAATATGTTTACATTTTTGTAAATTTTCATTTCTGTAATATTTAACAGATTTTATGTTGAAAATAAATTTTGGTAAGTGGGGTGAACGTACCTTGCTTACTACTTTCCTGTAAAATAAGCTATTATTCGAGTTTTAATGGCCTTAGGCTATAATGGAATCTTTTATTTGATTCACAAGAACAATTTCAATTAAATAGTAACAATATTAAAATTATTACATTTTTTATATTATTATTAATTGAGGTGCTAATAACTAGATTTTATTTTAAACCTATTTCAGTTATTGGCATAGGGTGTCAATAACTGAACTTCATTGTAAATAATTATGTTTTAGTTATTAACACTACCCAAAAATACCTAATTAGTGTTTAAAATAATATCTTTTTAACAATTAAATGTTTTTTTACAACTAGATATGCCAAAAAAATCAACTAATTTTTGTGAGGATAATATTGCTGCAGCAATACTAGCTGTTGATAATGGCATGTCAAAAAAAGCAGCTTCCAAACAATTTAACATCAATAGATCAACCTTGCAATTTAGACTTAAAAATAGAGACAGACCAACATTTAATTGTGGCCCTTCAAGTATCCTAACCAAATTAGAAGAAGAAATTCTAGTACGGTGGCTTTTGGAATGCTCTAAAAAGGGATTTCCTAGACGCAAGGAGGACTTGCAGTTGAGTGTCAAGCAGTTCTTAGATGAACAAGGAAGGTCTAGCCCGTTTAAAAATAATTATCCTGGTAATTATATTGTTTTTTATGTACCTATTAGGTCTTTATTTAAGTTTGAAACGATTCAAAATAAAATACATTAATATTAGTATTGACTGTTTAATAAAATATTAACTAAAATAAAATAATAATCATTATTATTTAAACACAACTAACAAAGCTGTTTAGTCTAATGTATAATCAAATAAATTGACAAACAATTCATGAACAATTTAATAATAATGCTTTGTACCATAGGACTTTTTATTGAAAATTTAACAAATACCTATCTATTAATGTAATTGATTAATGTTACTTTATTAAGAAAAAAATGTAAATTAAAGGAAAATATTATTTGTTTGTTTATAAATTAGTTTAAATAGGTAGGTACTTAAAAACTTATTGAGTAAATTATTATTATAGTTATTAAATAGGTCATTTTGTTAAGAGTAACATAAAAGTTATTGTTTTAAATAAATTATAATACATTACTTCATTAAAAACATATGTAGTTAGTAAGAATTAGATTGAGGCACACTATTTTTTTTTATTGAGCCATATTAAATAGGTATAGGTACTCAATATTTAAAATTTTAAAATTATTTGTTATTAAATAACAATTTGATAAACATTGTCTATAGAAATATGATATTAAAGTTTATTACAAGATTATTTTGTACTCAGAGGTAAATAAATACTGTTATATATACAGTGGGTATGAACAGTTCTTATGGTTCTGGGTATCCACTAAGTTAGTTACCTACTGTTTCGCGTGATTCTACATTATTGCTTTAAAAGTATTTTAACTTTGAAGGTATGCTAGGAAATTTACTTAGGAAAATCTAAAATATACATTTATTAATTATAGGTACTATTTTTATTTTTAGGAATTGCTTGGTATAAAGCCTTTTTAAGAAGAAACCCTGTGATCTCAGTTAGAACAAGTGAACATGTGACATCTGCAAGTGCAAATGTAAGTGAGCAAAATATTAGGAAGTGGTTTGACGATATTCATCAATATTTATCTGATGAAAATTTGTCAATTATTTTAAACGATCCTTCTCGAGTTTTCAATGGAGATGAAACAGGTTTTTCTCTTTGTCCTAAAACAAAGTCTGCCCTAGGGCCAAAAGGGGCAAAAGATGTCTATGAAGTGGCCAAAGGAAACGAGAAGGAAAATTTAACTGTTATGTTTACCTTCAATGCGGCAGGAATTATGTGTCACCCAATGGTTATCTATAGCTATAAACGTATTCCCCAACATATAATTGATTCTGTACCTCCTAATTGGGGAGTTGGAAGGTCTGATACAGGTTGGATGAAGGCTGAAGTGTTTTATGAATACATTGCTAATGTTTTTCATCCTTTCTTGATTGAAAATAGTATTCAATTTCCTGTTATTCTCTTTGTCGATGGGCATAAAAGTCACCTTACATACCAACTAAGCAATTTGTGTTCGCAATTAAATATAATTCTTATTGCTTTGTATCCTAATGCTACAAGAATATTACAACCAGCTGATGTGGCCGCATTTAAACCTCTTAAGTCTGGTTGGAAAAAGGGATTATTTGAGTGGCGTAATCAAAATCCAAATTGTGCAGTTACAAAGAAAGATTTTGCCCCAATATTAGATCAAGTCATAAAAAATACTGTGAAAAGTGAAGTTTTGACTAACGGTTTTAGGGCATGTGGGTTATACCCATGGAATGTAAATCAAATAGACTTTAAGAAATGTTTAGGAAAAAATAAAGGTCCTGAATTAAATGATACAGATAATAGTGACATTACCAAAAGTACTAATACTGCTCATGCTACTCGACTAAGTTTTAATGATTTTTCTGATATTGTTGGTGTTGAAACATTGGAGAAGTTTAACAGCATACATGATGAGGTAGAAACCCAAAAGTATTCAGAAGAATTTTTTACTTTGTACAGATTATTTGAAAAATTAAAGAAGGATAATAGTGATGAGAGCACTATTCGATTATCACCAATAAATTCTACTGCCCAACCTTATGATATTAATAGTACTAATCAAATATCACCATGCAACTTTAAAGCACAATCTCCTGATTGTATTGTTATTAATAATCAAAATGAACTATTAAAACAACAGACATATATCACAACATCAAGTAACATTTTAGAAAAACCTGTAAGCACACCTACAAACTTTGTTAATGTTAAAAAGTTAAATATAACACCAATAGAGTCATGTCTTGTGTGGCCTGTAACTCCTGAACGAAAAAACAATAGAATGACTGAACGAGTTCCTTATGTTATAACATCCAAAAATTGGAAATATTTGTATGAACAGAAAGAACATACTAAACGAACAATTGAAGAAGACAAAGAAACAAGAAAAAGACTTAGGGAGGAAAATAAAATTTTAAAAGCAAATCAACCCACTAAATTAACAAAGCAAAAAGTTGTAAAAAATCTTTTTCCAGTACTTAATAAAAATAAAAAACCGACAACTGTCACTAGCCAAACTATTAGTTATAAAAATTTTGAAGGTACTAATAATGCGGACATAGATCTTGAAGAACCTTTCAATATAAATGTATTTAATAGTGTAATTGAAAGTGGTTGTTGTATTTCATGTGACACTGAAATAAAAGTTACTGATTTGGGTGTTGAGTGTAATTTTTGCAACAATAAATACCATCAACGATGTGCTATGAAAGATACCAATGATGATCTCAATTGTGAAGATATTCTCTTTATTTGTCAAAACTGCGAAAAGGCTGTATACATTAATTAAAAATGTATTATAATTTTGTTTTGTTTTATTAGTCTTAACTATCTATATTATTATAATTACTTGTGTTATTTTTAAAAAATATTTTTATAATTAATTTTTAATTCAGTTCAGTTCAATTGAAGAACTGATCTTTCTTGTAATATGTACTTATGTATAAAAATAATTAATTTATCAAGACTGATGCAAGACTGCAACTGAGAAAAGGCTGTATACGTTAATTAAATAATGTATTATAATTTTGTTTTGTTTTAAAAGTTTTAACTATCTACTTTATTTTAATTACTTGTGTTATTTTTTAAAAATATTTTTATAATTAATTTTGACTGATGCAAGACTGCAATAGGTATATCAAATATTTTTTTTCTCTTTTTTTATAGTATTTTTAATGTTGTTTAGTAAGGTATATTAAATAAAGATTTACTTGAAGATGTTCTATATTGTATTGTTTATTATTAGTGCATAATTGTTTGTAATTCTGATGTGCTTAATTTTGGTACTAAAGGTGCATTCCTACAATGGGCGTACTCTCAGTGGGAAGGGGGGGGTCATTTGGTTTAACCCCCCGTAAATTGGACGTTTCTTTTTGCAAAAGATTTGTATTAAATTTATAAGGGATATGAGAATTCATTGTCTCATTGTATAATTTATGTATAAAATATTATTATTTGTCATAACTAGAGGGGTGTGTGCCGATAGCCTCCTACATATTTTTTTAAAAACTACCCACAACCCCCTACCCCATATTTTGAAATTTCTGACAATGCCACTGATTCATCCCTACCTTAAGTGTAAAGGCCTACCTAATGCCAAACAATTGTAAGTGATTCTATTTGTACCTATTTGTGCCATATTTGCTTTATATTTAATGTATCTATTTTGTCCATTATAGATATTTTATTAAACTATATTTTACATAAGATAACATTTCTTAGACTAGGTAATAGGTAGATTATAGAAACTTTCTAATATTAAATTTAAATTTTCTATGAAAATTTGAGGCATGCCAATAACTAGAAATGAGAGTGGCAATAACTCGATTAAGGATGCCAATAACTACAATTTTTGATATTTTTTAAGAATTAAATTAATATAAAAGAAAATATTATTCTCAAGCTATTTCTGATAACAAAAATGGATAGATAAGAATATTTTATAACAAATTAAAGATAATTTGATAAGTTAAATCAAGTTGAACACAAAATAAAATAATATGAAATCCGAATTTTACTAAAGGTGCCAATAACTACATGCTTTACCCTACCTCACCAACCCTGTTAAAATATTTATCCTCTAAAAAAGTTGGTGCTTGTGGAACAGTTAAGGCAAATAGAAAAGGTATGCCAAATTTATGCAAACAATTAAAAAGAGGAGAATGCAAACTGGCAATCACCAAAAAATCTAAAATTCTAGCTTGCAAGTGGAAAGATAAAAGAGACGTACTGATGTTGTCTACTATACATAAACACCAAATGAAAAATATAAATAAAAACGACAAATTACAAACAAAACCGAACTGTATACTTGATTATAATACTAATATGGGATTAGTTGACAAAACTGATATGATGATGAGTTTTAACGGCACAATCAGAAAATCTGTCAAGTGGTACAAAAATTTTTTTTTCATCTATTGGATATAGCAGTTCTTAACTCTGGAATAATATATAACAAACTTATCGATAAAAAATTGAGTCTGCCAAGTTATCGACTTCAGCTGATAAACCAAATTTTAGAAAAACATTCTAGAGAACGATTTAATTCACCAGGCAGAAAGTCAACAAATGACAATCCTACTAGGCTTGCAGCACGCCACTTCCCATCAATTATAACATCCACAGGCACAACAAAAAACGTTCAAAAAAACGTCCATTCTCATACACTGCTTACTCAAAAAACACGAAAAGACACCAGATATGAGTGTAAAGAATGCAACAAGCCATTATGTCTTACGCCATGTTTTGAAGCGTATCATACTAAAAAGAAATATTAAAAAAATTACACTTAGGTACTCCTATTATATATTTTACATTTGTTTAAAAAAATTGTTATTTTTATTTACCGTAATTAGGTTAAATTATTTATATTTACTTATTTCTAAATCAAGATTGAGGTACCTACAGAAAAAAAAATGTTTATACATAAAGTTCTATGTTTAGATTTTTGTTTTATTAATAATTTTAATTTCAATTTCGCAACATGTTATATTTTAATCAAGAATGATGTTAAAAACTTAATAATATTATCATGTATTTTTTATGTTTGGTTTATTTTTATTTTATGTAGTGAGCTATAAATTGTTACTATATTTTTACAACAATTATCATTTATCTCATTAGTTGTCATTTTATATTGAATTGTTTTCTTTTATTAAAATTTAACCTCGTTTTTTTTCTATTCCAAAAATAAAGAAATAGAAATTTAAATACAATACTATTTTTTTTTTGCGTAAGTATATTTACATATGCCCATGTTTTTACTAAAAAGGTAAACTAAAATCTAATGTTAAAAAAATGATAGGACGTATATTTATGTCTTTACTAAAATAGCGGTATCGTATTTAAGACGTAAATAGTCTTTACTTTAAATAATTTATCCAAGTTGCTCATTCCTAATTCACTCCCTGGGTGTAAACTAATAAATCCCAATTCACTCTCCAAAGGGTTAAATGCATAGTCAAAACCAGAGATTGTATTTTGGGAGGGTTAAAAGTACCAAGACGACACAGGATTGGTGGGGGAGGGGGGTACGCTCCCACACCACAATATCCACCGTAATTCACATCAACAAAACATACATATATACAAATTCAACTCTATAATCCTTAATTTATTTTTTGTACAAATTGTCTGTCTTTAGTTTAGTACACATCTAAAATGTCTTCATTATTTTTCCAAATTAATTGTGAAATAGTCTTGTAGCGTGTTGATTCGTAACCAATTTTTGATACGCCTCATAGAAGAAAACAATTTTTTGCAAGTGACTTGTCTTATGGGAATTCTTATTGCAACTTGTAACAACTTATTAAGATTTGGATAAACATGTTTTTCGATCACTTTGCTAATATATCATTAATATCAAAATCAGGTTTAATAGTAATCATGCAGTTTCTTGCTACAGTAATTTCTGATTTGAAAGCATGAATATCTATCATTAAAATATCCTAAAACAATTAAATATTCCAATAAATTAATTTAGAAAAAAACATTATTGAAAAATGTTATATTAACCTTGTAATGATTTATAAAATATGAACTTTCAATAAAATCCATTTTCATAAAACATTCAACAGAGCATGCCATGAGTAAACTCTCTTTAGAGAATCTATACTTAAGGTTTCTTATAACAGAATTTATTACAGGTATGTAGGCTACAGTATACTTCAACCATAGTGTTTGAATCTACTTTCTGCTCCACTAGTTGCAAACACCACATAATCATGAAGATTTTTGAGTTTCTTTTCTTTGACGTTTGGCTCCTTTTATTATAAATTTAAATCGAAATATAAATTAAATTACTTATAAAATGAAAATTATTTAATATATAAATATAATTACCAATAGTTGAAATTTGTAAGTATGTTATTTTCATCAGTAAATTTAACTAATTTTTTCAAACATTATGGAATTCTTCATCTGTCCTTGATGTTTCAAATGTTTTTACTTCGTAAACTATTACTTAATATGTTTATTATACTCAATACATCTTCAAGAATAATAAGAAAAATAATGAATTCACATTTTTGTATAGAACTTAATATGCCTGAAAAATTAAAATTAGTTTATAATTATTAAATTGAACAGTTTTATACCATTAGTTTATTACCAAAATCTTGAGCAATATCTTTATCGGATTGTTCATTAATTTTATTTTCAATATATTCAACAATTGCATTAAAATTGTTTCACATAGTCTCGCAATTTTGGTACCTGCAAACCCATTTAGTATAACATATCCTTAACATACTGCTTGTATGAGTTTTTTGAAGGTCTTGAAAAATGGACATATACAGCTTCAAGTACATTAAATATATCGTACGAGCTCCCTAACAAAAACCAATGACAATGTGAGTAGTTTAAAATTAATAATATTTTTAAATGTAAGTTGTGTAGACTAAAGGCTTACCTTAATACTTTTGTACGTATCAACAACAACTAAGTTTGGTCGGTGTGCCATGCAATGGTTGTAAATTGCACAAGTCTTTAAATTTTTATTGGGCTCCATTAATATGACCTGACATGACACTTGTACCGTCATATGACTGGGCAATAATCTTAACAGCATTCTGGCGAGGATGAAGACATTTTAGACAACGGCTTGTGCTGTATTTCTCCTCAAATTAAAATAATTATTGACCATTATAATATTGCGCTAAGTAACAAAAACAGAACAGAACTAACCCACGCGTCAGTGCTGCATAATACCAACCAAATAGTAAACAAACAAAGAATAGGGCAGTGAGCAATGTATATTATAAGAATATTCAAATTCAATGATAGGAATTTTATACTTTTGCCCCCTCCCCCCCAAAAAAGTATAAATCAGATAGGTATATGCTTGTATAGTAACATTTATTATTAATGTCATTGACCTATAGACAAAATATGTTTCGACCATGGGAAATGTGCTTGACAGCTGCAGCTGAGGCTGATGAACCCCAACAACTTAAAAACACTCACGTAAATTTAAAATGGGTCATGGCTTACTTGGAATATAGTGTTTATCCAGCTATTATTCCTGATAAAGGTAGACGAGCAAACTTCAGGAGATGTTGTCGACCATTTGTAGTAAAAGACGAAGTTCTTTATTACAAAAAGACGATGGCCAAAGTAATAATTACTCTAGAAGAACAAACACAAATCATTAAATTGGTTCATGATTGTGCTGATAGTTCTTTGGAAGCATCGGCTTTGTCTTCACATCATGGTCGCAAAGCCACACAAAAGCTTTTGAGAAAGCGATACTTTTGGCCGTCAATGTTGAATGATGTGAGAGAATACATCAAGCAGTGTGATGCCTGCCAAAAAGCAAACCCTGCGACATTAAAAGTTATTCCTGATTTACAATCGGTTTCAGTGCCTAAGCAAGTGTTCAAACAAATCGGTGTTGATATTATGACACTTCCAGTAGTCGATAACATGAAATATGTTGTAGTAGCAATCGATTATTTTTCTAAATGGTCCGACGCAAGAGCACTTCCAGATAAAAGTGCAGAATCAGTTGCTCGCTTCCTGTACGACGATATAATCTGTAGACATGGCTGTCCTTTAATTCATATTACTGATCAAGGAAGAGAATTTCTTAACAAACTCATATCAGAATTGTTTCGCTTAACTGGTACCAAGCAAAGAGTGACTTCGGCGTATCATCCTCAAGCGAATGGTTTAGTTGAACGCCAGAACAGAACTATAAAAAACTGCTTCCTCAAAGTTCTGCAAGATAATAGTAATAAGTGGTCTTATATTTTGCAAGGTGTACTATTTGCACATCGTACGACTCAACATACTTCAACAAATTTTTCTCCTTTCCAAGTCTTATATCCAAGAGAACCCGTATTGCCTGTTGATATTTGTAATTTAAAATCAACCGAAGAAGGCATGATAATATCTGATGATCTTAGTATCATATCCTATGATGACGTATTTGATAAAGTTGTTTTTCATAAAACATTTGAAAAAATGTTAAATATGAGGAGTATAATGGAAGATAAAGTCCATACAAACATAGAAAATGCTCAAGTACGGCAACGAGTTTCATACAACAAACGCCATAAAACTGATAGTGTGTTTAATGTGAATGACAAGGTTTTACTGAGAAACCCCAAGAGAGATGACCGTAAAGGAGGTTGGAGTTCACTTCCCTGGAAACCAAAAATTGGTTATTATATTATTGATTCCATAAATTCAAATAAAACCTGTGTCCTAATGTATAGAGGCAAAGTTATGAAAACAAGGCAAAACTTGTCAAATTTAAAACATTATTTTGATAAAGATGTATAAGTTAACGATGATATTCTAGAAATTCCAGGAAATGTATATCAAAATATTGTTTCAAGATATTATAATCCGGTTTCGTACTTGTGGCAAAATATGCAATGTAGATACTTCAATTTGACGATTAAGCATTTCCATAGACTATCATCTTCAGTGCCTAAAGTCTTGAATAATCCATCAACGACAATAGATATAATTGGTGACGGTAATTGCTTTTATAGAGCCTTATCGTGGTGGGTTACGGGTGATGAAGATTCTCATACAATAATTAAGAAAGAGCTGAAAAAGGTATTTATAATTAATTAATAATTATTATACAATTTCATTGGTAGCATAATTCATATTTTTAAATTGTTTCTTTTTGATAGTTAGTAAGAAATGATGATAAGGTAATTCAATTTATTGGTGGTCAAACTCAGATGGAAGACTATTTAATAAACAACCCTATTGGGAGGAATGGTAAATACAATTTAATGTTCTTGAATGATTAATAAATGGGTAGATAAATAAATGCAATAATTTTATTTACTTGTATTACAACTGGTTCTATATTTCACTCAACTACATACTACAATACATTTTATAGAAAATTTAAATTATGATTTATTAATTATTCAAAAAAATAACATAAATTCTATTATAAATAATTACCTATATTTCAGCGATTTGGGCTACTGAAGTTGAGCTATTTGCTGCAGCTCTATTAATGCTTGATCAATCTCCCTGTATTATATAATTATAAGTTGGCTTGAATGACTTTTGTCGTCAACTGTCTTAAGAAGTTATTTTCGCAAATATTTCAGTAAACAAACAACTATTACATTATTTGTTATTAAGAAATTGTTCAAAAATGTACAAAGAGCATACCATAATAGTGGTAAATATTATACTATAGCCTAAAACTGATTTATAACTGAAAAAATAAAATCGTTTGGTATTTTTTAGATGGATCATTCGGTTAATGTAATAAATCGTGATCATTCAAAGAAGAAAATTATAATTATAGTAATGTTAATTGTATTAAGTTCATTGTTCATGTGTGTTGTCAACAGCAAGACAAGTATAATACCATTATAAAAACAACAAGTAAGTTGATTGTTATAATATCTTGCACACGACTAAGGGGCGTGTTTTACAATTAACACGGTAGCTCTCCACAACCGTTGGCGTATTTCCTGAACCTAGTACGTTTCAACGTGGCTTTCTGCATGATGTATACAATTATCATGTTTTTACCGATCCTAATCTGATTCAGCGCGATAGGCTTCGTAATTTTTATATAAACACTTAAAACAAATATAATATTAAATGTATGCATTGTTTTATTATCAAGATTTATAGTTATGAATCCAAAAAAATTAACAATAAATACATATTTCTGTTTTTATTAATATGTTCGTCACATTATATTATATACATATTACATAGTCATAACTCATAATATAAGTATCAGTAATAATAATATAAGTTAAATATTTTTAATCAGGCTGAATACGTGTTACATACAGCGTTGTGGATTGTAAAATGTGCTGTAAAGTTACCTCATAATGTTTCTTTCTACTCAAGCTGATGGTATCAATATTAATAGTTATGTCTATATAGGCATAGTAGGTAGTATAGGTATACTATAGTTGGTATACATAGTAGGTAGTTTATAACGATTATTTATGATAGAAACTATTAGTGTGCACAGGGTAACTTTCAAAATCGTCTGTAAAATTGTAAATATCGGTTAGTGTGTTCACAACGTTCTATGTGACATAAATACCTATTTAGTGTGGTAATTTTAATTTATATATATTGTTAAATGTGGATGCCTAATTATTATAGATACTTCATTAAAGTAAAAATGGATGCAAGTCAAATTTTTAAGTTTGTTACATCTTGTGTTGTTTTAAATAGTGATGTTAAAACTTGTGAACATTTCAGCCTCGAGCTGAATCAGATAAGAATCGTTAAAAACATGTATACACCATGCAGAAAGGTTTTGGTTTCGCCCCCCGCGCTGAAACGTACTAGGATCGGGAAATAGGTTCTTTACCAGACTTGGTACGCAATTCGTGTGCACCGCAATATCCGGTAAAGTGTCTAATTAACCGGTGTAGAATTCAGCCGGTAAAGTGATAATTAAATATTTATTTTTATTTTTTATATTGATCTTAAGCTTCGGCAACTATGGCCATTAGCTGTAGTGGTTTATTTGTGGGTTGTTAATGTCGGTAGGGGGGAGGAACACGTGTGTGTTGGGTTTGGCAGAATTTTTGGTTGGGCACCCGTAGGTATCTGCCATGCCTGGGTAGGGGATGGCGGCACTTGTTCTCCGGACACCGTGACTTTCCCGGAGAAAAATTCCACCCGGTGGTCGAGGATCGAACTCGGACCGGCTGTGCCGAATCCGACGCGTTAGACCGCTCGGCCACCTCTTCCTCCTTAAATATTTTTGTGATCTTAACTTAACTTTAATTTTTTATATTTTAAAGGAACCAAAGAAAATCCAAAATGAAATTTTCAATTTAACGAATTTCACATTATTCGAATTACTTGATGAAATAAAAAAAATTAACATGTCTATTGACTACAGTCAAGATATAAGGACACGTGACGTGACGTTGACATTGCTGTAGATGCTGCATCATTTTTGGTTGGAATTGTACAAACGTATTTAGGAAAAAATAAACAAAACAAATTAGAATCACCTGCAGGTGCAGTTCATATTGTTATTAATAATAATAATCAATTATATAGCAATTCTTCAAATGCAAAAGACACAATTAGAGTGCAAAATTAATATGATAAATATATCATATTTTAAATCAGGCTAGTTATAATATACATAATATACATGATAATTTATCATCTGCAGGTGTTCATATTGTTATTAATAATAATCAATTATTTAGCATTCCTTCAAATGCGAACGACACAATTAGAGTTCAAAACCATAGTTAATATGAAATATAATGTTGTTTGCTTATAATAAATTATCGGTTTGTAGTAGTTTAGGGAACGAAAGGTATGAGGTGAGGTTAGATTAGGGTATATACGTGATAGATATGACCGAGCGCGGAGCGGAGGGGTAAGACCGGGTACGTAGTACGTACGTGATAGATATGGATGTGAGGGGGAGGGGTAAGGCCGTGCACGTACGTGATAGACATGGATGAAAACAATATAAGAAAAAAATAAAGGGCACGCGTCTTGCGACGCTTATTACTTGCCTGTAGGTGCCCACAAGACACATATGGCACAAGACACAAGACACGATTGGTTAACAAGAAGTTACCGCTATCATAAAATAAGTTGAGTTTTTTTATATTTTTTTTTTAAATAAACCTATTTAAAAATGTTGAATTTTATTTTGTTTTCAATTGAACTATTATTAATTTTATTATATTACTAAGGAAAAATAATTATTTTATTAAAGGAAAATTACTACTTTTAATTATTTTATAATTTTTATTTAAATAAGTTTTATTTCAATGTAAAATATACACAATAAAAAGTTGTGATTGTTTTTTTTATAATTTTATATAATATTGTTTAAAAATGTTCAATTTAATTTGTTGTACAATATAAATCAGTTATAATGATTATAACATTATTCAAATTGTCGTTCTTTATTGAAATTAGAAGCAAAAAATTATGATGTGTGTAAATATTACTTTTTATGTGTGCAAATGTGTTAAGTACAATATCTTTTTTTTTAAGAATACAAATGTTATAAGTGCAGGTTTTTTTTCATTTTTTTTTTTTTTTTAAGATTTTTTTATAGTAGAACAATAATACGTATTTAATCTTCATCACTCATTATATGTTAAGGAAAATATAACAAAAAGTTCATTATAGTTGGTTACATTTTTGAATTGTTATAAAAGTTTAAACTTTAAAATTTTTCTCCTGAAAAATTACGAAAATGTCACTTACGATATGTACATTAGGGTGGAACTAATCATTTATTTTGTAATTTAATTTTATAATAGTAAGGAAAACTTGTGTTTTAGTATGTATAGTAAATTATGTAAAAAAAAATTGTCAACATAAAATGTTGTTTCGAGGTGCCACCAAGCATTTAAAATCTATTTACAGAAATAGGTAACGAAAAACAAAAGTATCATCATTTATATTACTTTTTGATATCACCAAATTTATTTTGACCATAGTTAATAGTTTAATAGATTAAATAAGGCAATCAGCATTATTATCATTTGACTTACGATTAGTATCGCACTATTTATCATTGAGTGTAGACATATTGTACATATATGCATAGAGCCATAGAACGTAGTTATACAATATAATATATTGTATGTTTAATATATAGATAGAAAACGACGTTTCATCATTCATTAAAAAAAAGAACAATTAATAATTAATATTGAAGACTTGCACTACCAAATCGAAACCCTCAAGAGTACGTAATATCTATATCCTATACTATTTTATAAGAATTGAGGATCAAAAAAAAAAAACAAAATAGGTACATTAAATTACTCAATAAGAAAATGTCAATACCTTTATTTTAATAATTTAATTCACCCAGTGCCGCCGAACTATTTTTTTTTTAAGTGTGGCAATGAACAATTACTTATAGCCACCTAACTTTTTAATAATTTTAAAATGTGTTGTCTGTTTAAAAAACTATTGTCAATTTAGATTTAATTTGAGAAAACATCAATTAATCTCAAATTAATATACTATTATACATTTTACTACATTTATAACTAATGCTATTAATTTAAAGAAATATAATATAGTTATTTTTTTTTGACATTGCCTACTAGCAGATAAAAAGGTGCAAACACTATTTTCGTCACAGCCAATTTAAGTCCTTGGTTAAATAACTATGTGGTTATAGTATCATTTTTTTAAGACTTCAAATTGTATGGTTATTAGCTGGTTTTTACTGTGGACAATATTCCACGCCATTATTTTTAACTTGCAATTCAATAGGTATGTCATGCAAGAGGTTCAAAAATAAATCAAAAATGAACTCCGTTATTTTGACACTTGGCAACCCCATTCGGTTTGTGGGGGGCTACGGTTGGTAAGCGTTTTTTATGTGAGGCAGATAGATCGTCACAGAGAACCCGGGTGGTCACCCATCTGGTAGCCTGCTCGACCGCTGCACACTCACTATACTAGTGTCTGCGGCCAATCACCGCGCTTCACCAGGTCACCATACAACGAATTCTAATACCAACCAAGTTAAATTTTTTATTATATGTTTATACATTTATCAGTTTAACTTCTTGCCAAATGTATTATATGTAACATTTGACGTATCAGCAAATTGTATACAATATTACAATCCTTAATATAGCAATAGTAGTTACTGAGTAGTAAAATATATAATGGTATATACAGATTCGTATAAATTGAATAATTTGTTGGTCGTTGCCACATCGATAAAATAAAATATTTAATTAACTTGATCGTCATATTTAAAAGGTGATTTTGAAAGGATTTAATATAGATAAATTAATATATATTTTATAAAATTAAGGTTTCAGAAATATAGTAAAAATATATTGGACTTGGTACGTTATGTTATTTGGTATTAACAAGACTTAAACAGTTAACCTAACTATTAATTAATCATAGAAATAATAAAGTAGGTATAGGTTCATAGTAAAATACAATTTTAATGTTTAGAAAACCATGTAAATATTCAAATTAATAATTATGTTTATTCTTATAACGTATCTACTATACAGATTACAGAGTGTGACAGTATAT